TAAACGCCCTACTCCAGATTATTATTGTGGGAGCGTGTTGGAATCTAGGGGTATCGGTGCTGGGTCGTCCCCTATCGGTTGTGAAGGTTTCGTGAAGGCGAGCAAAGTTCAAGGCAGCCCTCTACTACTTTCAAATGCCAATAATTTTGTCCGATACTCATATATGATTATATATGATTATATATGATTATATATGATTATATATGATTATATATGATTATATATGATTATATAGGATTATATATGATTATATATGATTATATATGTATTAAAAGGTCTTTCGAAGGGTCGAACTTGGAGAAACAGAGTTCAAATGATCAAAACACTAAGTCACTGGATCTCAATCTTCGATGATGACGTGTCTATCTTCCGATGCGTCTTTGAAGACACTCCACCGAAGCAACACCTCACAGTAGATTGTATTGGTACGGGGCCAAACTTTGTCACAAAGGTAGCTTGTTTTCACTTAGTCACTTAAGCTGGTAACCATTGTTGTTCCGATTTTGCTGCTGATCATGAACTCATTTCCAGCAAATGGAAGGGTTTCCATGTCCAAAATGTCATGGTATATAATATTATATAATTTTATGTAATTTCACAAATAGCTCTTCACTTTTTTTGGGGGATACCCAGTGTTCTGTTCATATCCAATAAGGTTACCACAATAGACAGTTTACTCAGCACGTCATTTATATAAATAATTCATACTAATTCAAATTTCAGCTCTGATCATTTACTCAATCCAAAGACCTTGTCTTACTTCGAATGGCGCTTGCCTTTAGGACTAGATCACATCTCCTATGCAGAGAAACTTGGCTACCAGCACCCAACAACAAACCCCAATGACTTGCCAGAAATGGGTCTACCTATACCTCAACATTTCCAAGGAAAAACCCCTCAGCCCTGGACTGCACAGGAGCACAAGCAATAGGGGTCGATGATCTCGAGGATCAATTCCCTGGATGCAGCTATGCGGCTATCCGAAGCGGCATGGTATTCCAGACTACCACATGGTTTTTTTTTATATAGGGTTGATTTATGTTAGTTGTCTTGAACTTGCCTGACTTAGATATGACCTTTTTTTTGATTTAGATTGGACTTACCAAGTCCGAGCTAAGTCGAAGCTATGTCATTGTCTTTTTGAAAAAACTGACGTCAGCAGCGGCAGCCTTTTTTCTCCCAGAATGCGTTTGGTCAGGTGTTGCATGTTTATTTTGTGCTAATTTGTGCTTGCAAACTTGAATTTTTCCCTCTCGGGGAAATCTTTCCGTTCATCCGAGGAACGTGTATGTGGGTGCTTCAAATTGCCACCACACAGGTGTCATCAGCGCATGTTTGGCCTTGGGTTTGCAGCATTGGGGCGGGATGTTTTCATCCGTCCATTGAGTTCCCCATGGGAAAGTTTGTTTGTGAACCAACGGTTTCAACTGCAGCCAAAGACCTGCGCGTGCGCCACTCAGGCACTTTTCGACTATATAGGCTGTGTTTTCAATAATGATCGGCTGGTTTTCTTTCAAGACATGTCGCCTTAATTGCATACGTTTGCCGCTCAGAAGCGTCTCATCTTGAAACTCTGCCCGCATGGCTTGGCACGCCGGCTTCGTCGGTGTTAATAATTCCCAACGTGTCAAGCCAAATTCAACGGATTCAGAGCGAGTGATTTTCAACATCCGTGTCACCACCTCATACTGGAAGTTGGCGTGCTCGTTAAGTTTGCCTCTTTGGTTATCGACGATTCCACCACTTTTGAGGCAGCGATGTTTGGATTCATGTGTTTCACAGTGCGGAAGGAATCCAAGTTTCAAAGCTCCGTCAGGAATATGAAATCGGTGATGATGCTTTGGGATACTGTTCTCTGCCCCGTAGGCTTCGTTGAAGTCGTGTTGATGCAAACTTTGAAGGCCACGTAGGCGTGCTACTTGTTCTTCTGAGCTGAGAGCTCCGGGATATTTGCGGAGGAAGCGCAGCTCACGCACGCACGCATGGAGACTCTCAAAACTTCTCATTGCAGAACTCAGAGCAGGAGTTGGCTCCACGTGCTCACACAGTACATACCAAAGCAGGAAGACGAGAGGTTCCGTCGCCGTGCCATCTCCTTTGAAGGATCGTTCATTATCAAACATCTTGTCTGACAAAATATGTTTGATGCACGTCTGCGACGGCAACACATTCTTCCCATATCGCAGCCATTGTTTCTGCAATGCAAAACCACGCAGGTTGCCCAGAGAAATTCCTAGCGGACCCAGTGTATTGACAAGCTGCCACAGTTCTACAGACGCCACACCGTTGGAGAAGTACGCATGCAAGACGTCGTTGCATGCGCCGCTGGGGGGCAAGCACGACAATGCATCTGCGTCTGCCAAAAGGCTATGGGGATCCCATGTCAAGCCATATGCTCTTTCCCATTGTTCCCTGGACGCTTTTGTTGGCTGTGCTGCGATATGACGAACCGCTGCTTGAAAGTCAGCATCCGAAATTGCCTTGAGCCTGTCACAAGCTGCAGAAGCGATCGTTTCAAATGACTCATGCTGCCCGCGCAGGGCGTACTTTGCTATGACGTTGGCGCAGAACATGCATGGTTTCAAACCTGCGGAGCCTTTGATCGACCAAGTTGCTCTTTGAGCATCCATGTCACTCACAAAGAGAAATGGCACCGTGAAGCTACAGTGCCTAACTCGTCCATCTATTTCCAACGCAAAGCCTCTTCCAGCCCGCCTGAGACGACGCACCAATTCTGCCATCACTGCAGACAAACCTCCAGGCACTTCCTCCTGTTGGACCCGTTGCATTACCAACAAGGGAAGCCACGCAGCTTCTAGGCTCACATGAGGGAACATTTCACGCACAGTGAGATACACCGCAGTCACCTTTTTCTTTTTAATGACTGCCAAAATGTTTCCACACGTGATGTCATCATGATAGATGATTGGACGTAAAACCCCGTCGTTGACGTCCAACGCATCTGACACGGCAGCACGCCACGCAGGCGACTCGTCCACCATAAATTGCAGCATTTCCGGTGCACGCGGCATCCAGATGGTTTCGTCACTGCCTGGCACCCGCCACGCTTCATAGCAGGCCCGCGCGTCACGCAGACGTTCGCGAGCGGCAGCCTTCAAAGTCGACTTACAGGCATCGGGTCTGTCACTTCTCAATTGATTGGCAATATTCCAAATTTTCAGCACAGCGTTCTCGGATGCGCATGGCACCGCGAGACATTCATGGAGGTTTGCCACTTCGTTTTCTGACAATTTTCTTTTTCGACCAACGGCAGGACACGACATGTGGCTGTGCGCATATGCTTTGGAATGCCGCGTGTTTTGTTTCTTGCTATAGTATTGTTCCCGGCCACAAAGCATGGAGTTATTTGGATGGTTACTTTATACATACAGACAAGTACGAATCCATGACAGTCATACGCAACAGGTCTCTGTGTCTCTGTATAGTCTACATGTTGATACGTGATTCTGTGCTTCCTTCATTGTACATATACCCTTTGAGCCATAGTAACAGCATAGAAGCATACAGGTTTGGATTTGAAAGCTGCGGCAGAAACAAGGAACGGTTGACAAGACCGGTGACTCAGGGGTAAACAAGGGCCACACTCGTTTTCGCCTCTTGCACAGCGAGACACTGCGCGTTTAATCTGCGAACTCAGAGTCTAGAACTGGATTGGCACCTATGTCTACCTGGCAACATGCTTCCCCGGCTCACATGCTACAACACAGTGCGTTTGGTGCGCTCGTAGCGTCACTTTGCTTCCTCCTGCTTGCTCGCAGTAGCCTTGGCCGGCTTCAAGCTCTTCAGATCTTCACGGATCTGTTTCTGCAAAACAGCTGTTGCCTTAGCGTAGTCCTGCAAGTCTTTGTTGGTAAAAGGCAACGCATCCAAGCGGGCGCCGGTGCCCTGCGCGGCAGTTGCCAATGGCAAGGCGGACACGCAAGCCTTGTTCCACGCCGTGCCACGCTCCCAGGAAATTTTCAAGTCTACCACCTCCTGCTTGCCTTCCAGCTTCGCCTTCTCAGCTTGCTGCAGCAAAGTCTGCGTCGCCTTTAGCACCCTGCTCAGGAGGCCCGTAGCCTTGGAAGCCAGCATGGTCAGCTGCTCATTTGCCTTATTAGCTTGCACGGCCGCTCTCGCCGCACTCTTTGAGGCTTTCTCAGTGGCGGCAGCCGTGTTGCCATCAGTCTTGGCCTTCTTCCCAAACTCTCGCCGAGCAATTTTTTTCAATAGATCTATTGAAAAAGAAGGAAAAATCAGTAGCGATTGAAAACAGCATTTTCCAAGTTAAAATCAATAGAAATGTCATTTTGGTATATAGATTTCTATTGATTTTTGAGGCACTTTTCTATTGATTTTTTATTGGTGTTTCTATTGATTTTTAACAAAATTCCTATTGATTTTTTCTTTGAATTTAAGTTAAATTCCTATTGATTTTTGCTTTGAATTTAGGTCAAATTCCTATTGATTTTTGCTTTGATTTTAGGTCAAATTCCTTTTGATCTTTTCTTTGAATTTAATTGACTTCTATTTATTTCTATTGAATTTCAAAAGTAAACATCTATTGAGTGGTAAGCCGTAAATCCTTTTGATTTTTCACCATTTCACAATTACATATCCTTTTCTTTTTTCTCTCGCGTGCTTTTTTCACAAAATAGAGAAGCTGGGTGTTTGAAACTTAAAACACATATACGCTTATAGACGAAAAATACTAACTTCAAGACTATGCAGCAGTCAGATTGCCAAGTAAACGGGAAAGACAACTTCACTGATGGCTGGATAGCCAAATTATGGCATGGATGGCTGCATAGCCAAGTCCAGTGATGGCTGGATAGCCAAGTCCATTGATGGCTGGATAGCCAAGTCCATCGATGGCTGGATAGCCAATATGTGTTTGCAGAAAAGCCATGCGGGTGATCAGCAGGTGTATATTAGGCCCAAAAATGCCCAAAGCGAAGAAAAGTAGGCGGTCAAAATGCCCACCGGTCGACACGGGTCACATGGATGAGCTGCTGCAAAGTTATGTGAAAAAGAAGGGCATAGCTGCTTCCTTCGAGTTGGGCCGCTACAGTGCCCTGCAGACACAGAATGCTATCAATGGCTCTGCGCTGTCGAAGCTGAAAGAGTTGGTAGGTGTCTTGATGAAGTTGGAGACGGGCCTGCACTTCAAGTTTTCAGACTTGAAGGGGTCCTTGCGGAGGTGCTGCCTACAGTTTCCGGAGTTGAGGTACAAGATGGAGGAAAGCAAGAGGTGTGACTATGAGGGAACCATGGCTTCTGCCTTGCTTTGTGTCTGTGCGCATACCAGGCGCCTGAAAGACTCAACAAGATTCCGGGAGGCTTGCTCAAAGTGCACAGACGACGAAAAGAAAGAGCTCTTGGAGATGAAGAAGTGGCTTAGTGGAGAAGAAAGCGAAGGAGAGGACCAAGTAACTTGGCCAAATGGATTTGTATGCGCGGGGCCCTTCAGGAAATAGGAGCTTGTTTTTTGGGTGGGTTGTTTTTTCTGCTGATCTCGAGGAATCTGTGGCTGGTTCCATAGAGCTTCCAAGCTTGCCAGCAACACCTTTGATGGCAACACCGAAGAAGAGAAAGGCAGTGGCCTCGGCCACGCTAGAAGAGAAAGGACAGCCTGACTTGGATGAGGAAGCAGAAATGGCGACCCCACTGCCTTCCAGAAAGGCAAAGCTGAAGGAGAAAGTCCTGAAGAGGCCTGCAGCTGTTTCACCGCAAAAGAAACCAGCAGCTAAGAAGGTTGAGAAAAAGATGGAAGGCAAGAAGAGCTGGGTTCTGATGTACTACAAGAGAAGCAAGGTCAGAAAGAGTGATGCATGGGCGGTTCGCCAGTGTGGGGGCTCGCAATTGTTTCAAATGGTGTGTTCAAAAGACAAGAATGCGGAAGGCATTTGCAAGCAGGCTGTGAAAAAGTTGGAAGATGGAGATTCGCCTAGGAAAGTCAAAGAATGGGCAAAGGCTCAGTAAGAGCGAAGCATGGCCCCACGCAGAAAAAGTTTGCAGTGACTGAAGCATGTATGATGGCTGGATAGCCAACTTTTGCAAATTCGTTTCTCTCTTGCTTTGATGGCTGGATAGCCAAGCGTAGGGATCCATTGCCCAAAAAGGGTGATCACTGTGCATCTGCACTCATTTCCAAAACGCTGTGGGTGGCTGGAGGGAAGCCAAAACGCAAGCGTGAGTGGATGGCTGGATAGCCAATCTTGTGACAACTTACAATTGGCATTGCACCGAGCGGACGGGTTCAAGCAGGAGCTGCCGAAGGAAAGCCATGGCGCACCGAATGGATACCGTGCCTGCAGAAGATGCGCATCGTATAGATGCCGCCGCCACGCGTGTGGTCCCAGGGGGAGGAGGCTGGCTGAACCGGTTTCGTTGTAAAAATAGATGGCTGGATAGCCAGGTCAATAGATGGCTGGATAGCCAGGGCACAGATGGCAAAGCAGCAGTCTGAGGATGTAAAGTAAGGCTGGATAGCCTGGACAGAAACTGGGAGCGATATGAAAATGGTAGCCGGAGAGCTAGACAAAAATGCGCCAGGGAAAAAAGACAAAAAAGAAGCAAAATTCACATGAAGACATGCATGAAGACCCATGAAGACCCATGAAGACCCATGAAGACCCATGAAGACCCATGAAGACCCATGAAGACCCATGAAGACCCATGAATTCACATGAATTTCCATGAATTTCTATGAATTCCCTTGATTTCCAATGGAAACCTGTGATCTTCAACGAAAACCTGTTTGTTTCAGGGAAAATTTGATGGCTGGATAGCCACTTCTGCTCGATGATGGCTGGATAGCCACTTCGTTTCTGTCCTTGATGGCTGGATAGCCACTCTTCTGTTGCTTTGATGGCTGGATAGCCATGTTGGGGTCTGCTGTCCTTGTCAGATTGACTAGCAATGGTACAGCATATTCTGAAGGATTTTGGTGCCCAAGGCGTTCCAGCCACTGCCTCCTTCTATAATCAGCCATGGCAGCCCAGTCGACTTTGAAGAAGCCTGCTGCCCAACAGAAAGCCGGTATGAAGAGGCCTGCAGCTCATGAGAAAGAGGAAAAGCCGCCAAAGACCCACAAGAAAAATGGAAAGGACAAAGAAGAGGAGGAAGAAGATGATGAGATTGTGGAACCGCTACCTCTCACCGAGGAGGCGCTGCAGAGCCACAACAAGTTCCTCTCTGAAATGTCAAAACACAAGGACATGAGCCAGACGCAATTTGACAAGACATTGGCCACCTTACCGAGTCGCACAGCTGAGAGGTTGTGGAAGGCCTTTGAGGCGTGCAGAAAAGAGACAGGGAGTGATGGACAGTACAAAGAAGCATCTAGCGGCTGTGGCCAGCAGAAAAAGAAAAGAGCGCTTCTGAGAGGATGGTGCATGGACAAGGGAAAGATTGGAGACTGCTACAGAAAAATGCTAACCACAGTCAGAGTCGTTGCAAAGCAAGGAGTAGAAGAGAAGTGGATTACCAAAGCTGAGGCCCTTCCAGAAATGGGGGGCAGAGGAACTGAAGGATCGACTGCAGAAAGGCACCATCAAAGCTCGCCGCAATCCCTTGGACAGGGACTACTGGGAGTTCCAAGCCATTGTTGAGAAGAAGTCCAATATGGCAGAGAAGGACCGAGAAACCCAGTATGGATCTGCATGGCAGAAGGCCTGAAGCTGTCCGTGAGGTGCAAGGTATATCTAATCATTAATTGACCCTAAACTGACGTGCGCGGACTCGCTCAAGGAATTAGGTAAACCCGAAATTGACGATTGGATGGCTGGATAGCCAGTGCCTTTGTGACAGCCACTGCCCAATACCTACTGTGCCTTGCTTTTCTGCTTTGGCTAGGTTGACCACAAGAAGATGGCGGCGATTGAAGCTGTGGCTGTAGACGAGGTGCACTCCAGCGACATGGAGATGGGACATTCTTGCTGGCTGGATAGCCATGTTTTTCATCTTTGATGGCTGGATAGCCATGTTTTTCATCTTTGATGGCTGGATAGCCAGGACACAAGCATCTACATCTCATCTGTCTGCAGGTTGTGTGAACAGTTTGAAACGACGAAGTATGGAGAGCACAGACTGAAGATGATTACAGCCTTGGACGACATGCTGCAGCTGATGGACATGAAGCTCTACAGATTTCCCGCTGCTTTGCGGGACAAGTTCGCCCAGAAGGTCCACAGCTTCCTGCTGCAGTATAGCTACATGGCTAAACTTTCATCTCAGCGAGGGTGCCTGAGATACTCAATGGTGCAAAAGCACCACCTGACCAGCCATCTGAGCTGGTTCACTGAGAGCTGTCACCCCCGCTGCTTTTGGACTTATGGCAGTGAAAGTTACATGGGCCACATGGTATGGATCGCAAAAGCATGCGTCCGAGGCCAGTCTCCGCCGAAGGCGGCTGAAAGCATCATGCAGAAGTACAGGCTCAGCATGCACTTAATTCTCAGTGGCTTGATGGTTTTAGACGAGGAAGGAGATGACTGAGAGGCAAGCGAAGGAAAAAAAGCATGCAGGTGCACTATTGATGGCTGGATAGCCATGCTCGTTTCAAGATTGAGGTTTGGGGGTACCCAGAAGTTTTTGCCTCGATGGCTGGATAGCCATGTTGGAGACTTGCTTTGCTTTTCGCTGGATATGCATTGGAAATCATGGCTGGATAGCCCACTTAAGCCATCTATTGCTCTCCCAAATCACCTGACAAAATTTTCACCTTTTCAAAACCAATTCATATACATATATATATATATATAGATATATATAATGTACATATTTATATCTTTATACATAGAATATATCATGCATATAAAAGTAATCTTCTGGACATGTGCTTTGTGTGTGTATTTTTCCTCTTCTTGAAATTGGCATTCTCTCTTCGATCAAAAAACATAATTTTTGAATGCGCAATCCTATTGATTTTTAACGATTTGTTGATGAAATTTCCTATTGAATTTGATGTTTTTTTCTATTGATTTTTCGTACGGATTCCTATTGTTTTTTTTGGTAATTCCTATTGAACTTTCGTGGACGAGATCCTATTGAAAAAAAAGCGAATCGATTGATTTTGACACAAAAATCAATAGCGATTGAAAAATGACTTTCCGACTGAAAAAAATTGAGTGGAGAGAGTTAGGGTTACCTTTCGGCTGCCCTCCGCTCGCAGCGGGTCTGTGTGGAACCACATCCCACTCCTCCTCTTCGCGTCCATCGACGTCATCGTCTTGACGTTTGACTTTCTTCGCATTCTTCTGCAGCACTTCCTTCTCCTTTCTCTGCAATTCTTCTTCGATGAGCTGCCGTGCTTCCTTCATTGTTACCGACTTCACAGGTACTGCGTACAGGGTGCCCAAATTTTCATCCTCCTCCGCTGGATACTTCCTCACCGCTTCTTCATCATAACCTTTCTTGATCCAGACCGAGAGGGGAAGAGACTTCGCGGTCACACGGTTCTCCTGCTCCTTCACCAAGCGCGTGGCTTGAGACTCCACAATCATTGTTTTCACTGTGGACCACCTGCAGCCGGCCACTTCTACGGCCGTGGCACGTCGATAGAAGTCGGTGCGAGAGTCGACTGACCAGCCCTGCTTTTCCGACGACCCCAGATGTCGATAGAGCAGCAACTCGAGTGACAAACAATGGCGGCAAGTCCACGTCTTATTTCGCATTCTTCCCGGCGAAGACGCTGGCAGGGTGCGAGCGCACAGCTTGCAACACAGTCCCTCTGGCACGCTCGGTGCCTCCGCTGCCGCTTGGGCAGGCGCTCCTGAGCCGGCAAGAGGCGCACTTGGCGTCCCATGTCCGTCAATCCCAGCAGCAGCCATTTAGGAACGCAAAAAGCAACGCCCGTAACCCCTTTGAGAGCTACCAAAAAAAGCTGCGGGAACAGTCGTACCTCTGCTCTTTGGCCTACATTGGCCTACATTGGCCTACATTGGCCGACATATCGACGTTTGATCAAGTTTTAATTGCGTCATGAAGGCCTACATGTTGGCCTACATCAACAAGGAAGGTACAGTGTGCCCCTTGGCCTACATTGGCCTACATTTCGCCTACATCCGATTCAGGCCAGTTTTGGAAAGTCGGTTGTTTTCAACTGTAGCCGTTTATTATCCAGCAGCCATGAATAAAACTCATGAATATATTTTGAGCACAATTCGTGGTCTTGAAACTCAAGGAAGGTGTTATATATGCCCATGCCCCCCTCAATATTACCGGACACCAGTATATTTTTTTCCACTCCGCTTTCGTATCTGAGGCGAAGGTACGTTGCAGTATTGTATCTGCAAACTGGACACCTACCATAAGCCTCTGTACGTCCAATCCCAGGAGTTCACATGCTTATATGTGTTTCCGGATTCGCCTGGAACTCGACCGTTTATGAATGTAGGTATTTTAAAACATATGTATATATATTTTTTTTCATCAATGTACTGTTGTACTATTGCTTAATTTGATTTACCCTGTGCATGTGAACTCCTTCGTGGACTTCTGTGCTCGCCTATAGTCTGTCCTACATTGCAGATTCCCTGCCACATAGGCAAAGCTTTCACACAGTTGCCATGCCACTTAGGCGGTGTCCTGCCACCTAGGCTGCAAATACTGCACAGCTGCCATGCCCCGTGGGCTTACTCATACGACCTCATCCTCGAATGAGACGGTACTTACCGCCGCCACAGCTGACCAATCTCAAATTCTCCTCCGAGCTGTCAGACTCGCTGGAGCTGCGCGGCTCCCGCTTGCGGCGACGCATCGTCTCAGGAGAAGGCGACACCGCGATCACACGGATCTTGTTTCCCTTATTCTTCTTTTTCTTTGCCTTCTTTTCCGGCGCCGCGTCGTGCGCAGCAGCCTTGCTCGACTTCTCTCTTTTCTTCTCTTTGCGGCTGTCCGTGTGCGGCTCCTTGGGCGCCTCCTTCTGCTTCTTCTTCTTCTCTTTCTTCTCCTTTCTCTCTTCCGCAGACGCCGGCACACGGCTGTCTTTGTAGGACGACGCCGGCAGCGCCGGGCGCGTAGCCAGCGCTGGTGCTGCAGTGCCTCCCGGCTGCTCTGGGAATGCCACGTGGGCATCTGGATCCGGCCCCAATCGTTCGAAGCGCTCCAGCCTGCGTTGCTTCAGATCCTCTGCCAATTGGTCGCACTCGTTGTGAGGATACCCTGCCCTCTTGAATTGCCACGACAGGCAATACGTGGACCAATACTCATGCTGGCTCTGTCCACTTTCATGAGCGGTCACCTCCTTCCAGCAGAAGCGGCACCTGGGCTTCTGCGGCTTGAACCCCTTCCCGCGACCTTTGTGTGGCGGCTGAGGCGGCTCAGGGACCATCGGACGACTCTTGGGATAAGCCCCGGGCAACCCCACAGGTGACCTGGGGCGCGGAGGCGGCGAAGGAGTTCGCTGCCCTGCCCTTGCCCTGGACGGCGAACGTCCGCGGGAACGATGACGTGGTCCACGTGAGTCCGACGACCCCTCCTCCTCATCCGGGCCCGCAGCCCTCTTGCGTGAAGCCGGAGCACGAGCTGGAGTCACCGGCGGCTCTCGACGATCGCCCGCTGCAGCCTCCGGCATGCGGTGGCCTTCTGGAGCCTCCCGCGTGGGGTTGGCTTCTGGAGCGCCCTCTTCCTCTGTCACCGACTCATAGCTGCTGGACTTTACCTCCTCCTCTTCGGCGATCGTCGGCAACTCGTAGCGGCGTCCCATGCTTCCAAACCTGCAGGGCTACAAGACACTGTGCAAATGACAAACTATATATTGCATCATTTTTTTAGGTTGCCCAACCACACCTCCAACTGTAGGCACAGAAACGGCGCGCTAACCCAAGAAATATACTTGAGCCCATGTCTCTGCAGAACAAACGGACAAACTGCATCAATCTGTTTTCAGACACAAAGATTTGCATTTTCAAATCAAATCCAACTTGGCTGATTCAATTGCTAAACATATATCATCTTCTTTTCGATGCAAGACAAAGAACCAAACTGTGAAAAAAGAGAGAGAGAGAATGAGAGAGAAACAGAAATAGAACAAAGACACCGGAAAAAAACAACCGAAATCAACATAACGACTCAGTACCGCCAAACCCTTGCTGTCCTGGTTTTTTTCATGTCAAAAGCAGAGATTCCACTCCAGGTATATACAGATATGTGCAGCAAAGTTTCCCAAGAAAGAGACGGCATGTGCGCGTAGCCTCTGGGCATACTACGCGTGCTGCAGTGCAGCAACGATCCCGGCATGGCCGCACCATGCTAGTCAGCAAGTTGCTGAAGGATGCGTTCACGAATGCGAAGGAGTTCCTCTCGGGATGCTCCTTTCTTCACATGCGGCACCAGCATATTGCAGACATACTTGTGCCTTCGATGCGTGCTTCCCACAATCATGACCCACTTCTCTTGGAAGTTCCGAATGTAGCTCTTCTGAGAATAATACTCAACTTTGCACTTGCCATACTTCCGAGCGTCGAAGGTGGTATTTTGGAAAGCAGTCACCTCCGCAGGCACCGAAGCATCCTTTAGACCTCTTGCAGCAGCTGGTCTCTTGAGGCACCCCGCAGGTCGCTTCAGCTTCAGCACGGCAGACGCAACCGGCTTCTTCTTGCTCGCCTTCCAAGAACTGCTCGCAGCAGTCTTGGGCTTCTGCTCCATCTTCCGTGCCTCCAAAAACTCTTCTGCCAAAGCCTCATACCCAATAGACCGAATTAGACAAAAAACTACAAAATAGATAGATCGTAAAAATCTATAGATTTCTATCTATTAGACAATTTCGATTTTATCTATTATCTTATTTTTTTCTTGCAAATAGATTATTTTTATTTAACTATTATAGATAAATCTGTTTTTTTGTCTATATAGAGAATTTTTTTTAATCTATATAGAGAAAAATCTTGAAAATAGATTAAGCTAAATTTTGTCTATTTTGTTGATCTTTCATGGTTTTGACCATGCCAAAATTCAACCGTTACCTTCGAAGTTTGCTCGTGATTCGTTCGAAGTTTAACTTCGAAGTTTATACGTAGTTTATTCGAAGTTTTTACTTTGGAATCATTTTTGTCAGTTTCTCTCAAACTAAAAACTTTCAAAACAATGAAACACACATGGTTATGTTGTATATGTGAACTTGTTCGATCTGTGTGCTTGCATACATGGCATTTGAACTTTTGCTGTGGCATATCTTTGGGTGGATTCATTCTGCCACAATCGAAGGTTTCACCTTCGCAAGAGGTTACTGTCACAGTAACCCTGCACTGCACAAGGAAGGTCTTGGAAGGTATTCCCCCACAATATTTTTTTAAAGATATTCCGTTATACAGCATCTCTGGGAAAACTCCTTCACACAAGTATCTCTGAAACTTTTCCTCTCACAGTATCTCTCTGAAGTATCTCACAGTATCTCTCTGGAAGTATTCCCTCACAGTATCTCTGAAAGTATATTTTACCTCGCAGTATCTCTCTGGAAGTATTCCCTCACAGTATCTCTGAAAGTATATTTTATTTCGAAGTATCTCTCTGGAAGTATTCCCTCACAGTATCTCTGAAAGTATATTTTACCTCCCAGTATCTATCTGGAAGTATTCCCTCACAGTATCTCTCTGGAAGTATTCCCTCACAGTATCTCTGAAAGTATATTTTACCTCGCAGTATCTATCTGGAAGTATTCCCTCACAGTATCTCTCTGGAAGTATTCCCTCACAGTATCTCTGAAAGTATATTTTACCTCGCAGTATCTATCTGGAAGTATTCCCTCACAGTATCTCTCTGGAAGTATAACCTCACAGTATCTCTCAAAGTATTTACCTCGCAGTATCTCTCTGGAAGTACTCCCTCACAGTATACCTCTGCAACTCTGCAAATATTCCTTCACTCTGCAAAATTCCTTTTCACAGTATTGTTTGAAAAGGCTTGCCTCGCATAATATGTTTCCCAGTATATTCCCTCAGTATATCTTACCAGTAAAATTTTCAGGTATTTCTCTCAAAACATGAAACAACACCCAAGCAATCTATTTCATTTTTCCCTTAAAACGAAAACCGCTGTAAGTGTACATGTTCTGAAAAATATGCCTGCCTCAATATAAATTCACCAGATGAACATTATATTCCATATGGGCGTGACTTGGAGACTTTTAGCAAAACACTTGCATGCAGTTTCGTCATGTTCACGGCGCGGTTAAATCTGAAAATAAATAAGTTGGAGATTAAACTATATATAATTTCAACAAAATTTCATCTCAGATAATAGAGATGGGACCTTGTAAGAATCAGTGCACCATATGACAAACCCTCAATGAACCTTATGGGCGCATTGTCAGTGTACAAGTTACCACGTGAGAGACCTGGAGTGACCATGAGAGTCCAACCTCTTTGCATACCCCAGATGTCTCCTTGTTTTCACACATGTTCATGACAGTGAAGGCGATCTTGTGAGACTACGTGCACCACATGAGAGACCCAACTATGAGCGCGATGTGAATTTACAAGTTACCATGAGAGACTTTGAGTGATCTGGAGAGTCATTACATCTGTTTTGAGTTTGTCATTATAAGGGTTATGGGAAAATGTTTTGTGATGAATCATGCTGTGGACAGTTTCAGTGTAGCAAAGAGATTACATGAACGTGTTGTCATCAAAAATGCAAATATTGTCATTTTTCCACTGTCAAGAGCTGTTGAGAGTTCATGAAAATTGTTCTAAATGCACTGCATGACTTAGCATTTTTACCGGAAGCATTTTCCATTTTCAATATACCCACATAGACAGAGGGTAGATTTGTTTGCCTCCCACCTCGCTTCCCGCAATGGTGTGGATGAAAGATGACATGAAGTTTGTGA